ACAGGGAGGAAGAACATATCCTATTTTGCCTGTGCAACTCAGCTATTTTTCTTTCTCACACTTGGAATTGCTGAGTGTGTCCTGTTGACCCTCATGGCCTATGACCGCTATGTGGCTGTCTGTATTCCCCTGAGATATACAGTGCTCATGAGCCCTACAGTCTGTCTGCAGATGGCTGCTGCAGCCTGGATAGGAGGAGCTCTTACTGCCATTGGTCACACCATCTATCCAATGCATTTGCCTAGCTGTGGCTCCAAGAAGATTAATCATTTCTTTTGTGAGGTGCCTGCCATATTGAGACTGTCTTGTGTGGACACAACAGCCTATGAGATGGTGAAATTTGTGACCACCATTGTGTTTCTCCTGGTCCCATTTTTTCTCATCCTGTTATCCTACACCTTCATCTTCCTCACTGTCTTTAGGATGAACTCCCGCAAGGGAAAGAACAAAGCCCTTGCCACCTGCTCTTCCCACCTGACTGTGGTGAGTCTCTACTTTGGTCAGGCTATCTTCATTTACATGATGCCCAGCTCTTCCCATACACCTGAACAAGAACAGATTGTTGCCGTGTTTGGCACCATGGTCACTCCCATGCTCAATCCTCTCATCTACAGTCTGAGGAACAAAGAAGTAGTGGGGGCTCTGAAGAAGGTGGTAAGAAGGTTTGCAGCTGTGAAACAGCATATTTAGATTGTTTCTGAAAACAGAGGCACCATTCTCAGATTTTGGACCAGCCATAGTCAACCAAATCACAAAGATGTTTTTCTGTGAAAATTGAAATATACCAAATGTGAAAAGAAAATCATATGGACTCATGTGCTAGGGCAATCATTTAATGGAATTCTTATTACCTCAATTCCACAACCACAAATATAAGTTGAGTGCTATGATATAGTAAGATTTTTAATATTACTTTTATTTGAAGATACTCTAGTTAACTCCATATATGATTATTCTATCATTGTTGTTGTTGTTAAGTGCCATTGAGTCAGTTCTGACTCTTAGCTACTCTGTATAGAGTTTCTTAGGAGCATCTGCTAGGTTTGAACTGCAGACCTGTATTCATTCTGCTGTGTTGATGCTACAGTGGCAAGCATACAAAAATTATTTCTAAATGTTGTATGCATTCGGTCCCAAATTCAGTCTTAAGACAATTTTTTGAAGACCTTATTTAAACTCCTAATTTGAGTTTAAGGGGCATTTTCCGTTTAAACTTTCAAGACTGAATTCTTTTCTCCTTTAACATCTTTGTTGAAGTCATGAGTTTTCAGTGCTGGAACACATTTTGAATGAAACATAAAAAAAATTTTTTTGAGGTGATGAATTTTGATAAAATTATTGTATATATATATGTCCTGAGGTTGGTGCTATGGGTGGTGTTTATTCAGGTTTACTCAGTTATGTAGGCCCTCACCAAATTACAACATGCACTAAAAGTGGGATAGCAACTGTTTTCTAAATCCCAAAGGCTGAAAAGGTAGGTGGACATTATATATTACCCTTGGGTCACAGAAGCATTAAACAAACACTTTGGAGCATAATGAGACAGGATCACATAAAGGTGAATATATGCACACCCTAAAATCCAACAATTATTTATTCAAAATATCTTCTCTAGAAAATTTCTCACATATTTGCCTACAATTGAAACAGTTTGAATATCCATCAAGGCAGTGCTTTCAGTAGTAACAGAATTTACAAGACAGTCAATGTTCATTAATTGAAGAGAGAAATAATTATTTATTAATTGTGATTGATTTATATTAATGCAATAAAATATTACAAGACATTTAAAATAAACAGAGATAAATTATCAGTATAAATCAATATAAAGCAAAATATTAATTCAGTAAAGTAAGTTATAAAAATGAACCTACATTATAGCAAATTTCCCATATTGCAATCAAGTCCTAGCAACCCTATAGAAGACAGAGTAGAACTGCCCTGTAGAATTTTCCAGGCTGTAATCCTCACAGATGCATACTGCCATATCGTACCCTTAGGAGACTGGTGGGTTCCAACAGTTGACCTTTTCATTACAGTTAAACACTTAGCACTGTACCACTTTTGTTGTTAATT